AGCTGAACGCGGACCCAGCATTCATATGTTTAGTTGACGACAAAAGACAATCACACTCACACGCTCGCATCATTCATCGATATATTCCAACAAAAGTAAAACAAAAATGTAGAATGCAATTTTAAAAAACCAAAGTGATCGCGATTTTTATTTAAAAAAAATTTTTAATTGTTTTTTTATATTATTTATATTTTTTATTTACTTTTGTAGTTTGTAAGCTCATTTAATACTGATTAACTTTTATTCCACAAATTTTTTCGTCAAGTTATTGCAAGTGTTTGAAAAATCGTGATTCTTGTATTCAGATTAAAGAAAATGGTAAGTTGTCTCTTTTTATTAAAATGGAAGGTTCAATCTTAAGTATAACGCTATTTTTTTATAGCAATTAATCTCACCAAGAATGAATTTATCAAATGTAAACTATTTGCAGATGACATTAATCTTTTTTGTATTGGAAAAAAATCTAACGATCACACAATAAATTCTACTAGATAAATGGTAAATTTTTTAGTTTTAAATCTAAATTTATATTATTAACAAAAACAAGATGTAAAGAATTTCGTTAATATTTTCAAATTTCAAAGTTTAAGATTTCATAATGAAGATATTAAACCAATCAAGTTAAAATACTTGTTAAATAAAATAATTTTATAATTAGTATTAATTTTAATACTTAATATTTAATTTTTGATAGGAAAATTTCATGAAAATCTCTGAAGCTTAAAATTTTGATTGCATTGAAAGATTAAATTAAAAATATTAGCTGTCAATAACTGAGGAGCCAACTGCAAAATATTTACAAATCCATAATAACAAAACTTCAATTTTATTCATAATCTCGAATAGCAATTTTATACTAGTTAATAACTTACTTTATTAACAGTTGGTGCCTTTGAAGTATCGTAGAATGAAACTGATTAGTAACTGTACTCGAAAATTAACAGCTAATGCAGCTAATTCCAAAAGGATTTGCAAATTCAATCCTAAAGATAAAGAAATATTCAATAATAGAACCAAACATCATACTCTGATCATGATAAAGTTAGAAAAGTTTTTAAAGGAAAAATTTGAAGAATTTGATATTAACTGCAATTAGAAAAAAGTCTAGCTTATTATCTTTTCAAATCATAATAAAAAAACAAGTAGCAAAGAAAAGAGTATTTCATCATAAATGTATTTTAATTCTGACGTTTTTAGAGCTAGGAAGAAACAATTCTATTAATGGAATTATGATATCAAAGAAGAGAGAATCAGATACTTTTCCAAATCACTTTTCTAAGACCTTCTGTAAAATTTATATCATTTATATCATTCTACTTGTTTTATGGCTAAAAACGAATTTGACAAATTTCTACAAAATAACTACAACTAATTCTTATATCCTTAGTGAAACAAATAATCCACATGATAATAGTTTAACATTAATCATTAACTTACTTACAGCGCGAGCTTTATAAAAGTAAAATTTAGCAATCTGTGAGGAAAATTTATTTCTAGAAAGGATACTATTATATACATAAAACTATTCACAAAATAAGTATCAATGTCAAATAGCAAGTTTAACAGTTAACCCAAAAATATTTTTAAAAAAATTTTAAACAAATGATATATTCTTCAGTTAATCAGCTCTTAGTTACAAATTATTTAAATAAATCTAAGAATCGGCCAAATTAATCCACTAATATCTAATTGCAAATCTAGCAAGCCTAAATTAAATTTATAAATTGATTAAAATGTATTAGCTGCAATTCAATATGATCCGTTAAATACATTTTACAAAAATGTTCTGTCAATATAAATATTAGAAAAATTGCCTCAAAATATTAAGCACTACATAATAAAAAATATATATGAAAGGAATAATAAAGGGATAATCAATCACTTATGCCAATTATAAGATATACATAATATAATACTATAATGCTCTTCTCTAATCATATGATGCGGTGATTTGTATATTTTGTGTGTGTGTGTGTGTGTGTGTGTGTGTGTGTGTGTGTGATGTATATATATGTATGTATACATATGCTAATAAATTTATAAATAGGCTATATAATGTAGACAACGTATTTATACAAATATAATGTACTCTAAGTGATTAAATATTATTAAATATTGCCTGTTAAAACTTAAACAATATATTTATACAATTTATAATGTATTTATAATTGCTAATGGTTAAGAAACTGATAAATAAATAAAAAGAATTTTTTAATGAATATTCAATTTATAATGATTGACAATTGTTGCAAACGTTACTTTGAAGATGCAAACAGAATTTTGAATATTAATAGTAAACTACATCGCAGTAAACGGAATCGTAAGAAAAACGTACTTTGAAGTCTGAATTATGCTAAAGAAATGTATTTATGAGCTATATCATATGAGCTATATCATATTTTTATCAGACTACATGGGTGTTTTGAAATATCATTATTTTTAAATTACTTTTGAAGTTATTTCAAAAATAATCTATTTGTAAAACAAAATTATATTATTAAGTATTTCATATAAAAATTTATTTCCAATTAAATGATTTATTTGTTATTTCATGAAATAAATTATTTGCTACTTACCAGGATCTTTATTTGTTATTTGAGTTTGATAGAAATAACTTAAGGTATAATATTTATATCCAATATTTATATTTACTACACTTATCTACAGACACAAGTTAAAATCGATATCGCTCGATTTTTTGATGACGATAAATGAAATTTAGATATACTCCATAATCATATATTAA